CACGCACTGCCGCTAGAGGGCGCCAGTTCCTCCCCAGCCCCTGGCTCTGGGGCGGCGCTGGTCCCCGGCGTTACCGCCCGCTTGCGTGACTGGCAGTGCGGACGCTTTGCGCGCAAAGGCACCGGCGACCCTGCCACCGCCACACAGAGGGCGCATATCCCTGGGGCCTCCGCTTGAAAAGGAAAAGAGCGGGTCACCCCTCTTCCACATCGCCCTCTCCCGCGCCGACGCTGGGCCCCTCCTCCTCCTCCTTCTCCCGGCCCACTCGCCTGGCATCTGCCGGGAACCGGCCCGGCCCCCCCAGCCCGTCTGGCCCCGGGCTGTCTGGGGAGGTACCGTTTTATTTGTTTGTTTGTTTGTGGGCCATTGACACCCCCTATCAACACAACTGTTGAACTACTGACCCCAGAGCTGGTCACACACGCTCCTGCCCTCGCGAGCGCACCCCCTTCTCTTTGGGGCGTAGAAGCCACACCTCATAACTGATTCCAGGCAGGAGACCCCACACCGGGAGGTAGAAGGGGGTGGGGGCCAAGCCCAGGAGGCTGATCCCCAGGGGCTCCTCTCTGCCCCCATATGCCAGGCCACCGGGACTCTGGTTTCCTTGTCACCCAATCTGGCCAGTCCCCTCCATCTGGCCCTGGGAGTCAGGTTTCTAAGGATAGGCTGAAGGAGGAGCAAATACTGGTCCGGCCCACCTCTCACAGGCCTTTCTGGGCCAGAGCCCCTCTCGGGCTAGGGATGCACATTCCTCAGGCTGCTTAAGCCCGCTTATCTGCCCCCTGCCCATCAGCCCGAGTGCTGACAGAGGCCCGGACTCCTTGTTTGGACGCTGATAACCTCCTGCCACGGCCTCTCCTTCCGCAGGGGCCGGAGTGAGCAGGGCCGAGGGGGTGGGGGCTCCTCCAGCAAGGCAGCGGGGTTCCCGGCCTGCTCTTGCCCAGGATAGCCCGATTCCCAGGCCCAGGTCACCCTTTATGCTGCCAGAGTGCCACCTGGTGGTCCCTAGGGAAATGCCACCTGCGCGCAGAAAGAAGCCACACAAATGAGTTGCAAAAAACCCACATCACTTTATTTCGACCTTTATCTAAAAATGTAAAATGTGTTAAAAACGTGTAGTTTTGAGCTTCAGATACCAACTTCCAATCTTCACAGACAGGTGGAGAGGAAGGGTCAAAAGTTCACAGTCCCTCCTACCCTACCGAAAAGGGAAGCCCGGGCCTGGTGTAGAACCAGAGCACCGGGTCCACTGGGCGGCTCTCTCCTAATACCGGCCCAAGTCCCTCCCACCCAATCTCTGCTTTTCTCTTCAATGGAGAAGAAACATTTATAGTTCTCGAAACTTGTCCAGAACGTCGGGCACGGCACACGCAGCAGGCAGCGACCTGACCTGAAAAGGCACGTGTGTCAGCTCCTGGCTCCCAGGGGCCCCTCTGCCCTCCTCCACCCGAAGGGCACACTGCTTCCCACTCACCGGGAAGGGCTAGGGCCTGGCCCCCTGCTTTTTAGCAGGGAGGATGGGGCACAATTCAGCTTCCTCTTCATCCTCTTCTTCCTCAGAAACATCATTGCTTATAGTGACTGGGGACACAAGAGCAGGAGAGGGAGGGGCTGTTAAAGCCAGGTCTGCACTGCATGCCATTTATTTATGCCCCGAATATTAGGCTGGCGGGCACCGGCCTTCTCAGACAGTCTGGGAGGGAAGAAGCTTGCCTACCGAACTAGGTGAGAAAGAGCCAAAGGAGTACACCTGCCTGGAGCTAAAGGAATGGGCAGGCTGCGGGGAGCAGCGAGACTTGGGCGGGACCGAGAGGAGGGGACGTCGAGCTCAGGGCCCGGCCGGGGAGGGCATGCAGGTCTGGACGGGGGACCCTGGCAGGAGGAGGAAGAGCGCCCAGGAAGAAAGCAGCCCGCCCCTCTTCTCACCAATCTGGTGCCGCCCGGTGATCCGCACCGGGCCAGAGCCTGATTTCAGACGGAAGGTTACGGGGAGCTGGAGCTGGAAGTCATCCAAACTGAGCTGGGAGGAAGACAAGGATGAGGCCTGCGCCCTGGAGCCCAGCCCACTTGTGCAGAGGACCGCGGCTCAGTCCCCACCCGGCCCCAAGGCGGCGGGACACGCACCATGGGCTGGCAGGACAGCCTGAGGTTGGCCACAGGGACTGCGATCTCCTGGTGGTCGTGGTTCCGAGCCACCACTTCTACCACGTTGCACTCGTCCGCGGCTCCCTCAGTGAGGCAGAGCTGGACGGGGACAGAGCAGCTCAGGTCTCGCCCCGGAGGTCCCGCCCACGGAGGGAGCCCTCCCTCGAGCTCGGCGGCGCGCGCCTCACCATGGTCAGGGCCAGCACGTGCTCCGCGTCGTCGTCCTCCTCGACCTTGAAGGTGAAGGAGCGGGTGCGGCTGGAGAGCTCGCAGCCTGCGAGGAGACAGGGGCGTGCGCCCCGGGTCG